TCGAATAAGATTCATCCACCACCACACTCTGGGTGCAGCCCTCCAGCCAATTTGAAACCCATCTAACTGTGTAGACATCGACACCACTTCCAAGTCCAAATCATCTGAGAGCTGGAGATTTTGGAAAGGGCTCCCAGAGCTAGGTGACCTCAGCACAGTACCAGGGGTGCCACGATGCCTGCTTCTTGAGTGCTACCTCCCTGGACGTGAGTTGTGTAGGCTTCTTAGTGTAAGTTGTATAGGCATCTTAATGTACCACTAGACCTAAGCCAATAAACACTCTCTCCCTGGCACCACCTGAAGGCAATGCAGATTTGCCCACAATTACAAGAGATGAGGTTCTCATTCAGCTCAAGTAGGAGAGCTGATGGAGTCAGACGTCAGGATGAATATCTGATAAGAGCAAATTTTTAATCTTTGGTTGCCTGGTGATGCAGTGAAAGTGCAACTGAACTCTGTGAACAGCGTAGTGGGGACACGGCAGCGGTACTCTGCCATCTTCCACTCCTGCCTACAATACGCTGCAGGCGATACGACTATTTCTACATTTTTTTTCAAAAATTTGCTCCTAAGGCACCTATGACAGTTTCTACTGCAGCAACGTCTGAAAACCCAGACAGGGATCAGGGGCCCATCATATGAAGTGTCACAATCTAAGTAAAACAAAGACAGCCCCTGTCCTGAAGCTCTCCTGGGCTGGAGTTTAGACAGTACTTAAGGTGCGCAGAGAGGAAGATAACGTGATGAGAGAATAGACTCATGCATTTGGGGTGTCTGGATATTAGCTTTGCTGGGTTTTGCTCCATACTCTGTTCAGTCAATGGAGCCCTGGAGGCAAAGATTACTTCAGCTAAAAAATCATAGCAGCAACCTCAAAGATCCCAAAGATGCTATATTTGCAACAAGACTGGGAATAGAAAGAGCTTCAAATGCAGTTCCCCAGACATTAAATACCAATTCCACATTTCAAGTGCTGTGCTTGGGTGGCACAGCCCCATCCCCTGTGAGCCCAGTGTCACTCGCAAGGGACAGGGATGGGGATGGGTCTGGCCTCATCCCCTGCAAGCAGCTCCAGGCTCAGCACTTGACTGGTGCAGCCCCATCCCCTGCGAGTGGTGCTGGTGCGGCCCGGGGTGCAGTGCCACTCACAGGGGATGGGGCTACTCCAGATGAGCAGTGAGCCCAGCCCTTGCCCAATTTTTTGGTGTGGCACGATGTACAAGTCAAGTCTGATTTTTAAGACCCACAAATTTGGTGTCAAAACCTGACCTATACACCATGAAACATGGTAGATGAAAGTATTTGGGAATGACTGCCGGGTAATTCAATCAAAGCTATTGGAAAATCTGACTGAGTGAATAATTACACCAAGAGAGGAGCAAAGAAAGAAAAAGCAAGCAGATTTTTGAGAGAATCCCTCCCAGTCGTGCTCCTGCCTCCTTTGTGTTTGCTCTGTATGAACAGACTGGTAAATGAGCATTCACGCTGAAATAACATGGTACTCCCTTGCATGCAGCTAGGACAAGGTTGTCAGAGGATCTAGTATGTCATGGGTAGACAGTCACATGTGGTGGAAGGACGGGGCATCACAGCCTAAGAGATGAAGGCTGGAAGAAGATGAGATGAAGGAGTCTCACGGTTATACGGAGCTGGGAGAACCTGGTCGTAGGTAAGGCAAAGAGCTGCACGGGACTTAATGGATGTTACTGCCGCACGCCTCACTGCTCTGCCTAGTCTCAAAGCCAAAGTCCAGCTCTGCTTGCGAGCGCCCGAGGGTTTTCTTTATCGGTGGAAATCTGAGAGCAGATTTTGGACCTCAGTATGGAAGGGTGTAAGAATGAGGACGATGCTAAGCAATAATAGCTATACACATCCCCGCAGCTACCAAAGATTCACAGCTCTTCCCCCTCTTACCCCTCTGACCTCCTGCCAGCAAAACACAGCGATATGACCCCTGTCCTGCTATACCCAGCTCCTCACGTAATCATTCGCAGGGTGATGGAGAATGGCTGAGGCTGAAGCAAATGTATTCAGAGGCCAGTTTTACAAGTCCTCTCTTGGGCAAAAACTTTGTTAAAGTCAATGGGAGTTTTGTCCGCAGGGTTGGGTCCTACTGACAAATGCCTTAATTCTGCAGAATGAAAAATTTAACCAAATATTAAATCTAACCTCCATTTTGTGTCTGACAGTGGGCCATAGTAGCTCAGCATCAGGCTTCCTAGTGCTCAGCTTACTAAACAACAAGACAAAAAACCCAGCCAGCAAGATCTGGGTATAACTTAGTTTTCACCATCCAGATCTAGCTCATCTGAGAGTCACTGGAAACAGGCTTACTGACCATAACCTGTTTTTGATTTGTGGCGCCCCTTGGAAAATGACAGGTCTTAGTTCTCATTCCTTTTTTGACTACAGAAGAAGAACAGAGCAGCTCTGCTGTGGCATCCTGGTTGAAAAATCACTGGACTACATAGCTTGTACAGTTTTGTTTCCATGCATAAATGCTCTGGTTCTAAGGGAGTGATGGAGATATGCTCTTTCATGGTTGCCTATTAAAATATTTCTACTAGAGGAGACATCCAATATGAAGCAGCATCTGGTAAGAGCAACAGCTGCTTAGCAGCAACATCCCCCCTGCCATGTGTCCAGATAATACTTTCGATAATAGCAGCCGCCAGTTAGGAATAACAGCATCACAACACCACCGGCTTGCTACTAACAAGCCTTTTGCAAATAAAAAACTGGACTTCATTTGCATTATACACTTGTGCGTGTTATCAGATCACTTTTATTACATCCCACAGCTCGGTAAAATCCAGCTGCAGTATGCTCATTCTGAACAGAAAGAAATAAAGATTTAGAGCTGGGCAATTTCCGTGGGTCACTTTGCAGAAGCCCTTCCACATGACACGCAGCTGGGTAACAACCATGTCATATAGAATTACCTTAAAAAGAACTCACCGTCAACTTTTAACAAAAAAATGCTTTTTGCAGTTAACTTCTTGGCAAACCTGACTAATCCAGCAGTGGATTGAGCCCTAAATGCATGGGAGAAGGTTTGTGAGCATGAGGGCAGCTCCACAAATGTGATGCAAAGGGTTTAAGGCTGGCTGTTCAAACACAGTCAACCTGCCCATCGCACGAGCGGGAAGTAAGTGCAAAGGGGGAATGGAGCAGGGGATTGCTGTGAGCAAGTACAAGCTGTGACACCAATGGGAGACCAGCTGAATTGGTTTATCTGTTCAAGGCCCAAGAAATACAAGTAGCAAGGATCAGAGGGTTTAAAAAGGACCGCAAGGGTCATCAGAAAAATAATGGCCCTTTGCCCTGGTACTGTTTTGTGCTATACAGATACACCCTTAAAAACCAGATTGGCTGGGGCAGGAATAGGCCCTTGACCACAAGCAGCCCCGCAGGGTCCCATACCTTTCACAGACAGCTGATAGACTATTTGATCTCCTTCGCAGATGCACTCATACCGCCCCGCATCCTCCGCTGCAATGTCGCGAATCCTCAAGACGCGTTTCTTCTCTGCCGTCTGCAGGTCATACTTCTGCCCAGCCTTGAGCTCCTTCCCATCCTTGAGCCACGTCACGGCAGCTGCCCCGTCTGAGAGCTC